TTTAGACTATAAGCATCACAAACAAAAAAAAAAGGATGATGCTTTTCCTGGAAAACTTATAGCTCAGTCAAAACCTAAATGTTACATGTAATGAACAGGAGTAAGGACATGACAAAGCAGAGGAAACTGGGATTCTAGGGCTACACTCATTGACTACATCATAAAAAACATAGGTCTGGCCAAGGGACTGAAAGGAGAATTAGACCAGCACAAGGCATATTTTTGAAAAGGGCCTTGAAGAAAAGGGCAAAAATCATTATTTAGAGTGAGTAGAAAACTTTAAGGGCAGGAGGGCAAACTATCTGGATGCCCCAGCTGCTTCCCCATCTCTGTAAGGGGCAGTATAGTCCTAGCTTTGAAAATACACACTACTAACAACCCACCAAAATCCACCCCAGTCTAAGTATAGTACCAAAATAGAATGAAAATTATGAGCCCAAACCAGACATAGCAGCCCTGAGACTACTGAATTTTCTGTACCAATTACCTACCTGCAACATTACATATTCTCCAACCAAATACTATTAGTGTGGTTCTCAAAGCAATTCAAAGAGACTGCTGTATTTCATCAAATCATTTTTGGACATCTCACAAACTTTCAAGAGAATCACTGTTACTAAGAGTAAAGCAAATAAGACCATTTGCTCACATGTTCAGTACAATCTGTTTTTTTAAAAAACTTGTTTCTTTCTTCCCTGTTTTTTCTACTTGAATTTTTATATTTGTTTAGAGGTAAAAAAAATATTTGCATTTCTCAAACGCCAGCTTTTTTTGTTCTTTTAAGAGAGCAAAAGGTGGTTTCCAATACTCCATTAAACAAGGACTCGCATCTGCCAAGTCTGCAGGGAAAGCAGGCTGAGGCATCAAAAGTACTGCAGTTAGTGAATTTAATCCTTCTGATGCAATCAGTCTGCAATGTGATCTGATTAAACTTAAAGACTCAAACCTGAAGTCCACTACTTCAGGTCCAGAGATAAGTAGACAAATAGTACGAAAGAGCAATCTGCTGTGGGCTTAAATAAAACCTAGACTCGACAGTTCAGGTTAAGATTTCTAAAGAACGCAAGCCAGGTGAATTGATTTAACACAGCATTAAAAAAACATCAGGGAAAGAAAAACATGTACATCAAAAAATAATCGTGAGACAATCTTCTCAGTGTAAAATAATTAGTGGAATGTGTGACATATAAAATAAATTTCTGCACATATACCCACACTGCCACCATCAGCCTCGCCTTCTCATTTATTTAGGTGAACCTGTAATTGGCAACCAGGCACTTACTCATGGGTAACAGCGGAGGTGCTGAGCTGCTGGAGACTTTGACACTGCTGCAAAATAGAGTATGTGTTCATATGTGTTTGTGCAATGGACACTTACTGTGCAATATTATCTTGTCTCTACAGATAAATTAGTTGCATCATGCTCCTGCCAGCTTGATTTGTTTAGCCTTTACAGAGAACCGAGTACATGGGGTTTCTTGTGATTGAATCTCACGTAAAAGGTAAACCTGAGAGTTTATTCTACACAATGCTATACATCCACCAAGGCAGCTAGAGCATTTGCTGACTTGATGTTGAAAAGAAGGCTATAAAATATACTGGGGAAATCTTGAAACGTCACTCACTTGACATAGCAATAAGAGCCCTGCATTAAGATGCAGAGCTGATTTCCCTGATCCATGAAATTGCCTGGATATTTAAAGCATTCTCAAACAGAACCAGCACAAAACTCACCCTCCATTCCTGGCACAAGGACACCGTGGGTTTTGTATTCTCCAAGAAAAACAGAGCTTAAAATTGCAGAGATAAATATTCTTTACAAGAGGACCTAAACCCGATTTCCTTCCTTTCTCAAGAAGAAATAAGTATTCAAAATGTCTTTAATGCTGGAAGATGGTTATACTTGCTGACACACTGAGCAGATGCAAGGTTCTCTGTTGTGAGTTGATGCAAGAACATCTTACAATAAAACACAAAGCGTGCAAGTCTGTGACCACCTCTGGAGAGGGACATTTGTCCCTCTCATAAACAGGTGACAGGACTGGAATAGGCACAATCTGTGGACAGCTATGAAAAATATTACAAAGCAATCTATTGTATTATTTTATGGTCTGAGAGCTAGGACATGGCTCAGAATTCCTTAGCAAATGGTATCTTTCCGGCTGCTAAAGGGAAAGTAAAGACTGATCTACACTTCCAAAGTATTGGTGAGCTGAGGGTCAGGTATAAGTTGAATTCCTTCCAAAGACCCACACAATGCAAACAGACTGCAATAATGGGGGAATTTGAAAGAACCATAAACTTCCCTAGAATGCTGTAATGTAGGCTCTGGTAGCTTAGATTCAAAGGAGGACAGTACCCAGAAGAAGAAGTACAAAAGTTACAGAGCTACATGTTAGATTGTAAACGGCTTCCCATCAGGTAACTAGGAAGGTTTTAGCCCAAGAGGCACCAGTGAAGTATCCTGACATTGCAGTACATGGCACATCTGACTGAAACCTGCACACACCAGCAGAACGAACACGTAACATTGGCGGAAGATCTTAGAACTGATTTCTACCCAAAATCACTCCAAAAGGGTAATCTCCTTTAAACCTGGTGCATGCACTGCACGTATCATTTTTAGCACCTCCATAACAAAGAAAGACCTGAGACTCAAACTGAGGTTCAAGATTTTTTTCTTGAGCATGGATTATCATTCCTTCTTGTTGACAAAGAAGAGAATTTCCTAATATTTTTCAGATAAATTTCTCAGTTTTTGTCTTCACCTAGGCTGATAGCTCTTCCTATTTTGTAGTAAAGATTTGCACTGACCAATTTAACAGCCAGTACTCGTCCCCTGCTTCCTGTAATTCTTTTCCTACATAGCACATACAGTAGTCTCTATTCATACAACCGTACAGAATTATACAAAATACAAATGGGAAGGAGTCTTGAAGCCATCTGCTATGTGACCCATTCAAACCAAGATCAGCCACACCTAATTAGCTCCTGACATATGCTTGCCTACCCTATTGAAACAGTCTGCACAAACTCCCTTGGATATTTATATTGTGATGCTTTGCTATTCTTACTATTAGAATGTTTTTCTACTGTTTTGTCTGTTCCAGAAATTTTAATTAAAAGTTTCCTTAGAAGAAGACTGGATTACTGTGCATTCTGATACATGAAGAAAAACACATACAGAAACATACGACACATTGAAATCAAGGTTCATAAATTACTTGTAGATCTCATAGGTGGTTTTGCAAACTTTCCAATTCAAAACAGTTTAAATGGAACCAGCTATTTATATATCCACCCTATTGCTCACTTTAAAGAAGATCTTGATCATAGTAATTTCCTCCCCAATTCAAGTTCTGAAAGCTCTGAGTTCTCTGAAGAAAATAGTTGCTGGCATTTTTGGATGATAAACATCCCAAAGTGATGATGATAAATTACAGCGTTGCCCAATGATGCAGAAAAGTAGAGAAACGCAAACTGCTAACCTCTGATTTATGAATACACACTCTTTATTACAGAGTCTAGGGGTTCACAGCTGTAAGAGCAGGTCATTTTCATCTCATTTCTTATTAAAACTGCAAGAAGGAAGCATGAAGGGTGGCTACCATATTGCAACGTATTGGCTAGATTAACACTTAATGCTCTTTGTCTCCAGTACCAATCCAAAATAATACAGAATTTCCTGCCTTTTTAAGGTCTACATAAGCATTTGTTACCCTTCACGATCACAGATAGGAATTTTTACATAATTTATATTAGCAAATTTTCTTGCATTTTAATATAATCATTCCTAGAAAGTTTTTCTTTACACAGAAAAAAAAAAAAAAGTCTAAGATATTAAAAGAAATAATGTGATCTGCCTGTTAAAACATATTGGTGTTAATGAAAAAAAACTACTTTGGAAAGTATTCAAACTGACCCTTTCACCTATCAACAGGCATTCCCAGTGAAACCCACCCAATGCACTCTAAATCACAAGCCGAGGAATCCGTTTTGTCGCAGTACTGAAGTAAATTGTATTACATTCCTTCATCACTCCTCAGCTTCCCAAAGCTTGGGGATTTTCTGTTTTATTCTCCTCTCCCTATTACCTCTCTGTTAAATATTCAAAGCAGGCAACAAAAAGGACTAGGAAAAATAAGGTCAATACAGCAAATTGGAAAGAAGTAAAGTGTTTCTATACACCATCATTTGGTTGTTACAGTTATCTTAATCAACCCAAACAGCTTCTTTGAGACATCTAATTTGATTTTACAAAGTGCTAACCCATAGCCATATTTGACTTTCCTTTGATTCCAAATGTAAAAAATAGCCTTTATCTAATGTTCAGGCATATAATCTAACTACACATGCATTTGCATTTGCATTACGAGGCAGTGAAACATGGCTGGAGAGCCATCTTGGATGTTATCTATGTTATTACTGAAGTGGAGAGTATAATCATAAATCCTTCTCTTCCCCTCCACCCCCCACCTTTTTTTCAGAAGTACACTTAAAAACTGTTTTTAAGCTTCACTGGCTCCATTACATTTGAACTTCAGTAACAAGAATGTGATATGAATATGTAGAGGGAAAGCATAGACAAAAGGTATATTTTCATAATGTGGTTCAGTTTAACTGTTCCTATAATTAGCTACAACTCATTAGGCAATAAAAAGACAAACAAAGAGATTATGAATGGAAGGGCAATATTTTCTCCATAAAACAAACAAAAAACTTAAACAGATGCCTCTTTTCTAAAGCTTTCCTTGCATAAATACACCCAGCAGCTTAGAAAAGATATTTTCATGATTGAAAATTTTTGTCTAGAAAGAAAACCTGTAAACATTATGCTGTGCAATTTCAATAAAAAGTATTTACAGCTATTGTGCACTTGGGATTTTTTGATCTCAAGGATAAAATAACGATACAGCAATGGTCTGCAGATGACTAGCTTTGATCTTTTATTAGTTCTTATAATTGTCTCTTAATTTGTATTCTGCATAATAAGCACTCACCTTCACCGTTTGTCCAGCTTCGGGGCCATCCTGTAAGCAAAGGGAGAAGTCTCAGGTTAGAGGAACTAACAAGGATCACACAGGAATTCAGAGATCTTAATCAGTCATCATTTATATCCAATTTTGGTGTATATTCATTTAGCATATTTTCCTGGGGACTATTCAAACAAAGTTTTTGGACAAGGTGCCTTTCCGTATCAGGCCATGGCAAAGTGAGAATCTTAGACCACAAAAACGACAGTTATTTTTCATTCTTTCAGATCATATTTTTGAGTAGCTAGCAATAGATTTCTGATCCGTGTGAATATAAAATCAGACATGTAAGTGAGAATTTAATCAAAGCATGCTTGTTTAAATTCTTATTCCAGTGAAATGGGCTTAGTCTCCTGATTTGCTTTAAACAGAGCTCTTCTTTAGTACAAAAACACCCAGCACAAATAACTGAAAGGTCAGAATTGATAACATATTTACATGGCTACATGTCTCTGCCTGCATATAAATAGCTGTGAGCAGGAATTACTTGTTTCCACCACAAGCAGTGGGTTAACTGCTGAATGGAGAGATGTGGCTGCCTTCTCTAGGTCAATCCTGCAAACACTTCTTTGAAGAAAGAGTATTTGCTGAAATACTCACTAACGAGCGCTGCATTTGGGAGTGTTTGCAGGCTTATTCCAAAGTTTTGCAGTTATTAATTATCCACATTTTTATGCTGGTTTGCCTTTTAGTTCTTTTCAGTGGCAAATCTGGCAGACTGCAATGCAGTTATTGCATTTCTTTTTTTTTTTTTAATTATTATTTTGTGTTTATTGCCCTTTGAAGTTTGAATGTCCTTTTCTCATTGGACTAGGGAAGAAGGTTGATAAAACAAACCATTATTATTTTTTTTTTTAATTGACTGGTTTACAAACCTGAATTGAAATGGTGAGAGAGGCGCTGCAGAAATGTTTCTCCACCACGTTGCCAACTCTTTGCACTGTACAAAATAAATCGGCCACTTCCTCAGGACACAAGTCACGGAAACGTTCCACCATCCGCAGAGGACAAACAAGAACATCTGAAGTTGGTATTGTCAAGGCACAAACGCAAGTCTGAGTGGTCCAGAAGGACAAGTGTCAATCCCTAGCCTGTGAATTGCTTCTGATCACCTTTGAATTGTCTAAACTCTTCCTCTCCAAGGATTACAGCAAGAGCAACTAAATCATAAGGCTAAAACCAGAGAATCATATGATGCTTTGTTGAGAAGTTTCCTCAAATCCCTCAGTTATGGGCAAAATCACCAAACTAAGGTCCATATGTTACTACTGAGACATCTAAAGGAAAGCAAAGTTTTCAGAGATTCAAAGTTACATTCTGATAGAGAGATGCTAGTATTTACCACCTCTGGAAGTCAAAGACATTTCCTTTCGTAATTAAAAATGGAGAAAAGCCAAAGGAATTTAAGATGGGTTTGGGTATGTGATCTGAGAGCAATTTTACAATGCTTTCCCACATATGCGGTGCGTATTTTTGAAAATCTTGGTCTTACACCTCTAATTTCAGGTACCTAAATGTGAAAAGTTGACACTATGCTGGTAATAGCAGGTCACTTATTTCTACATCCCAATAATTACCATTCACAAGGAATGCTCACCTGTTGTAAATTTTATATTATATGTTATTAGAAATACATTAAATAATTAAGACTATTCCCTTTAAAGCATGGAGTTCACAACACTTAAATACACTTTGATTTTATTCTACCTTGTTGAATGTGCTTCACAAGTCAGTGAAATAAAGCTATAAAGTAAACAACTGAAGTACACAGACACTATTCACAGTCATCTGATCTGCTGTGTTCACAGAAATTAATAAATGCCATGATTCCTCACTTGAAAGTCAATTTTGTAACATTATTAAGAAGGTCCAGAATTCTTTGCAGAGCCTCAGTTGTATAAATCCAACAAACAAATACTTAGGACTTTTTTTCTCATTTCAATTCCCTGCAGACAGGATGGGTTTTTTCTGACTATAGTCATAATACTGTAGTATTATGTTTGCAGAATAAAGACCTTAAAATCACCTTTAACACCACTTGAACTTTCATGACCAAAGGCTATGAAAATTAACAACTTATTTTTTCAATATTAAAAGAAGTCTTCAAAGGACTATGTGAAGAAAATTAATCTCCATGCTACTGTATTACAGTCATACATATTTTTACTGTCATATTTTTAAAGCCTGCAGGTATTCAGAATATTCTCTATACTCCAGGAAAGGTAACTAGGAGATGACCTATAGTTAACAGGTTCCCACAAAGGTTACATCAACCTTATATTCAATAATCACATGAGATATTGGAAATAAAGAAAGATTAATACATGCAAAAGATTTTTTATGTTCATAAACATGCAAAAATTATTTATTTTCATAAACATGCAAAAGATTATTTCCATAAACACAGAAACAACATTTACATTCATGAAGTTTATTGTAGGAATTGCATTTATAATTCTGATCAGAGAGAAAACCAGACATTTTCTGGAAATAAAGAAGTAGGAGCAGGTTTTGATCATTTTCCAGAGTCCAGATGAGGACAGACAAGATTGTAATGGATATTTGCTAAAGTGGGAGCAGATTTTCCGAGTGAGCTCCACAGCTAGCAGCTCCCAACAGAACAGAGAAGACTGGCCCCAGCTATGGGTGTTAATCTGCTTTGAAAATCTGGCCCTCATTTTTTTTAGTACAGCATCAGCTATGCCACCACTATTCTCTTTCTCTCTTGTTACAATTTATGGCATTAAAATTTAAGAAAGGAGAATTATTTATTTAGAAAGCGAGTACTTGGAAAGAAACCAATCCTGGACAGGGACAAAAAGCCTAGTTTGGTGAGGTTTTAGTTCTAAAATGCTGTGCCTCTTGGCAAGCTACTGGGCATAATAAAACTCCTGTAATTTATTTGTGCCTTCCCAGCACACTGTACAAAGTACCTCCATAAAGGATGCTATTGGCTGAATTTAGGGCCCAAGGGAAGATCTGGAAACTTGGTTGGCAGACCTGATTTCCATACCAGGAATAAAGAATAGAAAAACTAATTAATTTTACTCATAAAAAGGAAATCCATGTCAACACTAAAACAGGAAAAAGGACATTCGTTTAATCTGAGTTCATTTTTCAAAAGGAGAGAAGGGAAGCTTTTACCCTTAGGGCATCTGATACTTAAGTAGATAATTATCCTTCTTCTGCAGCACTGCTTTATTATCATGGGTCAACGAACCATTTGTAAGTGAAGAATTTCCCCTCACTTACCTCTAGCAAAACTGCTGCTTACATTAAGACAAGTTTCCTTTTCTCTTTTAGAATTTTTTCCCAGTTTCTCACCCTCTCAGACTCCTACATGCCTCACCAGTAATTGTTTGTTCTCTACCTAGCTCAGGGCCACAGTCACAAGTATGAATTCTTGCATAAATCATGGTTTCTACAACCTTATATTAACACTGTACTACTTGCCACTGTGATGCATTGTGAAAAACACGGGCTAAACGCTGCTTGCAAGAGCTTTTGTTTCCATAGCAGAGGGAGGGAGTGCAGTGTAAGTACTGGTTGTGACCAAGCCAGGACATCTGTTTTCTCTTCTTAATTCTGTCACTAATCTGCTCTGTCATTTGGGCAAGTTGTCCCTGTACCTCTCTCTCTCCTCTTCTATACTTTATCTGTCTTATCTGCTTAGATAGCATTTACCAGTTGGTGCAATGGATGTTTTCTTATTAAGCCGTGAGGTTCTCCGCTCATGGCCGTGAGGTTCTCCGCTCATGTGGGGCTGTGAAGCACTCCCGCAACATCAAACAATGTGCCCATAAACCATGTCGTTCTGCAAAAAGGATTTTCACTTCCTCCTTACGTTACCGAGACTCATTTACAACTCAAACTAGATTTTAACCATATTTCTGTCTTTGAATGTGATAAATAATTCAAAGGCACAATCACACACTGGAGCATCTTTGCTGAACTTTCCATCATTTCAAAATAATTCTACAAAGAATAATGATAGAAATTCTGAATCAGAGCTAAATTAACATGAGAATGTAATTAGGACAACATTCAAGTTATATTTAACTATGAATATATAAAAAGGCAAATGTTAGAATGAATTCATGGATTTGAAGTCATTAAGAAAACAACCATCCACTGCAACTTTAAATCATAGTTTTTAACTACAGTTTTTAACACTGGGATAGTTTTTAACCTTATATTCTGGTCAGATTTTAATCTGGATAAATGCTCTTTTCACCTCAAAGTTCCTCCTAACTTTAAAATTAGATAAACTGTTCATTGCTTTCTGCAATTACCCACTGCAAACACCGCTATGAACTACTGATGTGCTTCAGGTGACTGGGTATTAAAGATGCGAGTGAAAGTGAGTCTCTACTTATGCCTACATGCAATTACTCCTTAGACAGAAGCATCTACTGCCATCTGAGATGCCTCGGGGCATCCAGGTGCCACTACAGAAGGGCAGGAGTCTCCCATATGCCCTGTATCATATCTGTCAGCCAGGTGGGAAGCCTGAGCCATTTTAGGGTATCTGAAATGGCAGTAGGTGCCTGTGTTTGGGCAACAGGCCCCCACCTTCACAGAGTGGCTCAGTGGTAAAAGAGGCTGATACCCAGCAGACATGGTGCATGACTGAAGACAGCATTCTGCCTTCAAAAGGTTTGAACTTTATGTTTCCTTTCTCTAACCACCATAATTAATAATTTTGTGATTTCTTCATTCATTTAAAACTGCTACTGACTGATGAAGTTTCTAATTTTAAGCTTTGATGTGCACAGCTGTTATTTCCATCAAATTCTTCACCCCACATCATTAGAGTATGTGCGATTTAATATGTCAACTTCTCCATTTTAAGGAGTGGAAAACCCTTACGTCTTATTATAAGCTGTGATCATACATTTTTCTCTCTAGATCTTGCAGGAGTCTCTCAACAGCTTTACTTTTTTCCTAATAGCTAAATATGCATACAGAAGTCAATACTGTCACACACACTAAAAGCTCCATTAAAGATTTATTAAACAATTAGGAATGTCAGTATTTTCCATAGAGTACCAGTAGATAGTAGACTAAAACTCCAGGTATATTAGTGGAAGTGCATAACTATAAAGTAGCAGTAAAGCAACAGTGGATCAGAGCCATTACCCTCAAACCGAGCTAAAACCTAAGGATGACCTATGATTTCCACAAAATCACTTGTCCTTATATATTAGGCACAGCAGAGCACTCTCAGCAAAACCTTGGGCAGGTTGTTTAATACACCAAAGTCTGTGAGTCTCCTCCACGATTCAAATTAACAGCCTCTGCCTGTTGTCTATTGAGATTGTAACCTGCTTGGAAAAGCTCAGACTCATGGCCAAGCAAACATGGTTCAACAAGTATCTACACACCAGCAGAGCAAGGATGCCAAAACACATGTGCCAGCTCTCAGCCCTCAACAGCCAAAGTTGCATATATTTCTGTAAATCTCTTCCTCTCTTTCATTGACTTTTTATACCCTAATAACTGGAGTCCTTGGAGAGCGGCATTCAGAGACATTTACTGCAATGAGGTTCTGCAGTGGGCACCTGGACACCGCCAAGCACAAGTACAAATTCCTCATGTGCATCTAAGTATTTAAGGATATGCTCACATCAGAGATTATGGGTCACTACTGAAAAGTGAGCATTTGTTAACCGCATAACGACTTTCAGTTGATCAGAGAGGGCTCAAATTCTACAAGGAAAGCAAAACACATGGCCAACATGTGCACGCTGACCACTTCAAATGCAATTTTCCTTCCACTAATACACATAGAGTGGAGGCTGAAATTCAAAGGCACAGTAGCATTTTTTTATTTGCTTTATCTGAATTTTGACTTTGAAGCCTAAATTATTGTAATTCTGTATTTAAGGTTGAAGCCAGGCTCTGTGTTCCCTTCAATGGAATTTTGATCAACCCCACAAAGTGCCCATTATAAATTTTCACACACAACTATCAAGGTACACATGTTCTGTAGTTCTGAGATGCTGGAAAAATGGCCTTTGGGGGGGTCAAAAAAAGAAAGGAAACCAAAAAAAGAAACCCCAAAGAGGTTAAAATTCCTTTTATGTGAAAAGCTTTAGAACTAAACACAGCTTTTTCCTGGTTAAGTCCATTAGTTTGCTATATAGAAAACATACTTTTCGTTTTGACTTTTGTTTTATTCCCGAATTTGGACTTCAAACAGAACAATTCAAAGCTTTATAAAGGGAAAAATTAAAGGCTCTTCAGGTACTGACATTCTAACAATAGGAATTAGGTTCTTTATTGTTCTTTGTATTTTTGAGGAAATAGTTAAAAATATTAAAAATGACAGGTTTTCTTAATATGTGAGGCTTTAAAAGAACAAAATACAAGGTGAAAAAGGCAAAATATCTGAAAGTGAAAGGGTAATTGCTTCCTTATGAAACTCCTGGGTTTGACCAATATTGTTAGTTTTCTAAACCATTTGTTACAAAAGGTTTTAACTTAGAAAAATGATTTATTTTCAGTGTGTAACATGGTCAGGAATTCATAGCTCACATTGGGATGGAAATAGCATTCCTGTTCAGAAGCCTTTTTAAAAGATTTTTAAGTGTCTTCCTTCTCACAACAGCATGAGTGTCAAAATCTCAAAAAAAATATTCAAAATATATTTCAAAATATATTTCAAAAAATTTTAAACTCTTGAAATACGTAGTTTAGCATTCTAACATTTTCACACAAAAGGCAGTTTAGTTAATAAAAATTTTCCTTAATAATTTAAGTTTGGGAAACTCATCAAAACTGACATTTCATTAATATTTTGGGTTTGACTAACCCATTTTCATTAAAAAAAGGTGTCCCAAACTATGGTACCTACGGAGACTTAAATATTGCTTCGTGCATTTCATAAGCTTGGGTGACTAACTTAAAGCACAGCAGCCTCTGCCTCTCCCTCACTGCTGAAAACACCCCAATCGTTTACAGAGCAACTCCTGCCTTGGAGATCGGGGTTTTTGTTCCCTCTAGAATTAATACAGACTGTAGCACCACGGATACTGCTACCATCTCTTTCTAACAGCAGGAAGCGTTTGAGAGACACGCATAGATGGTGTCCCTTGAGTGGTACCTTGGTGTGGCTGCTGGGAGCTCAGAGGCCAGAACCAGCTGCAGAAGACTGTAATAAACTATTATTTCTAACTATCTCCTGAGTCTGTATGAAAGACCCCGTCTGCACATCCATAAACTAGATGATGGGAATGCACAAATAATGTGATGTGGGTAGCTGGGTGAGGGATTATTCTTTTCTTATACTCTGTTTTACATGAATTTGCATCAAGTGCCCAAGCAGAGAGAATCAGTCAGACAAAGGTTCAGGTATTAAAATACACCACGACGTTGTTCCTAGATTCAACTGAGGAGTGTAGGCAGGGGTATTGAATTCATCACTGCATCTAAGCAGAAGTTTTCTTTGTTCAAAAGCCCTAATTGCTAACAGAAAGAAGTCCAATAGCTCAGAAAAAACACAGGAGAATGCATGACTAATAAAATTAATATAACTGAAAAACAACTGCCAGTCATTTATCTTTTTTTCTGCCCTTCAACAATTCTTCACATTTTGAAGGCTACAGGAACAATTTCTCTATGCAAAGAAAACAAGAATAGATCCACAGACACTGCCTATAGAAGGAGTTAAGAAGGAAGCAAAACCAACTGAAATAGTGCATACACAGAGAAGGCATCAAAAAAACCTTTAAAAATGAATCAAATACCTATTCTGCTTCATTACAACAACAGTATGTCAAGGCATCCATTCAGTCCCCACTAAACCCACTGAATCAGGATGTACATAAAACTGTAGTAATGCAAGGACTGAGGTCTCCCTCCCCAAGGACAAATCTTACTCAGTAAGATGGAGTGACTCACTCTCGGAAGGAAATCTGTAGAGGCTATTTGGATTAAGAGTGAGCATCTCATAATCGGAGAAGTGGAGGAGCACTCTTTAGTGTGTTTTATATGTAGAACTGAATTTAAACATATTTTAGAAGGCTGCTTTGGTACAATACAGGAAATACTGCATCACAGAACTTGCTAGTTTGGGAGCAAACTTAGCTGTGAATGATAAAGATTATTAAGAACTAATGAAAATGCAATAAAATGACAACAGAAGCTTAAAAATTACTTCAGACAACTAAAACCACACACAATGCATTTTTTTTGATCTTGCTATGCTACATCGTAGCATTAATAAAAAAGTCATTAAGATAAGACAAATCATCTAAACACAGTTGATCCTGATAGGGCAGCACAGTACATATTGACACTCATACAGAAGACCAGACTTATGCAAGGAAACAGAGAATTAGTGGATCCAGTGGAACTGAGAGCAATCAGTGTAAATCTTTGACACGGATCTCTGCACTATAACTGTTCTAAGACCACACTGCAGCTTTTATTCAGTGGGGTTTTTTTACTCTACCTGACATTCTCAGCCTACTGATGCTACTGAAAATAATTCTTCATGCCAATGAAAGGTGCCATAGTTCCAAGAAATGAACAATAAATATTATTTTACTTTTTCTGTAGGAAAAGTCATCAATACATCTAATTTGAATATATATATATGGTTTATAGTCCAAATCGTGTTAGGTAGCACACCAAAGTACAAAGTACTGCTACTCAAAGTACAGTGACTCCACAAGACAGAGGGCCACAGCAGGGAAATGTGAAATTCAGAACTGTTCACTTTTCATTTTAAACAAGCCTTTCGTATATTTGATATTCCCTTTAAATGCCTTTAGGGTATGTCAAGTAGGTCACTAAAAGCTCAGTTCCTCA